AGTTATGTTGCAACCACAATTAGCAGCAAAATCAAAGTTATATGCAGCTATTTTGAAAAGCTTGCCTCATATCAACAAAGAGAATGTGTATCTGAATGCTGCTGGAGTCGAGGTGCCCCAGTGTCTTTGTCATTGTGCTCACGCCTGATATGCATTTCGTTAATGACCACATGTAAAACCGAACAATTTAGTGTTGTTAAGTCCTCTGCACGAGATTCTTCCTCATTGATATCTTCAAACCAGAATCTTCAATTTTCAGCTTGGCAGATCGTCAAAGCCTTTGAATTCAGCCACAAGTTGCCAGATTAGTTTCCTTCATTTGCTGTGTAACTTCTTTGAAGAAACTCTTTGCTGCACCTTGTTGATGAACTCCAAGACTTTTTTTTTTTTTTTTTTTTTTTTTTTTATGACAAGACGCAACAACGAAGTCCCAAGAGTATATCCCGTCAAGCTACTGGTCATCAGCAGCCTAAAAAAATAAATGGCCAGTGCAGACACAGTCTGTAACATCACCATTAAACCTGGTGGCAGCATGATGAGGAACCTTTCTTTTGAAAAAACAGCCTGGTGTATTTTATAATCCTATATAATAAAGATGCAATATGCAAATGGTCGTTACACAGTGAAGCATAACAACCAACTACATAGACAGGATCATGGGTCAGCAGCGGGGTGGAGCAGCGGAGAGCTATAGGAGGGGGCAGGGCAGCAAGCTCTAGTGAGGGTGGGAGGGCCGGAGGGAGCTACTGGAGGGCAGGGCAGCGGCGGAGAGCTACAGGAGGTTGGCAGCGAGCTACTGGTGCACAGATTCATGCGTAGGGCTACTAGTAGCACCTTATAAAGCAATATACAAATGTAAGCTACTGGTTTAAAACTGCTGCATTTTGCAGTCCCCCCCCCCCCCCCCCAAAAAAAAAAAAAATCTAAAAGCACAGATAACCTTCCCTGAGACCTGTATCAATGCCTTCCCACTCTGGAATTTCTACAGCAGCGACAGAAAGCAAAGATACAGAGTACACTTTCAATTCCTTTGAATCTGAAACTTTGTCTGAAATTGTCTCTTTGCCATCCAACTCATTAGCACTGTCATCTAATACCTGTGGCAACCATAACTGTGCCCTTCCCTTCTCAAATATCTTTAAGCTTCAAGTCTCCATTTCACAGTTAATTAAAATAAATTGCCTGCTTTTAATTGTATATAAAAATGTTCCTTAGTTATTGGTATTTTCTGTGCCACATGGTAAACATTATAATGTTTATCATTATGCATGCAAACTACATGAGCTATTGCATTCAAAAGCAACTGATAGCAACCATATTAATTGTTTGGCGATTAAAACAATATTCTTTAAGTATTATACATCCTAACAGGATAGTTTGTTATGTATATTTAGCCTTTTACTTTATCTGAAACATGTTAGAAATTTTGGGGTTGATATGTAACACATTTTATCTTTTTCCACTTAAAAGCAAGCTCCCCGTTAGAAATTTCTTGCAGAACATCAGATTTTTACAGATGGATTATTAAATGTAGGTAAGATAATCATGCATTGCTCTTCCTATAATTTCAAAAGACAAATTCATGCTGTATTTCTGATTTATATCTTCATTGGAGAATTTTAAGAAATCATCGTAATTATCTGTTCCTATCCTACATTGTGTATAAAGTGTGTTATGGGGTAGGGGTGGGGAGAGGGGGGAGGATAACTTGAGCAGGAGAGCTGTCTTTGGTTCTGAGGAAGCTGCTGGACTAACTGGGGTAACTGCACAGGACTTCAGGTTGTCCCCTTGGAAAGGGGAGGGTATATTTATCTGTGGGAAGCAGGATGTGCTCTGATATTTGGGTAGCCAGAGGCATAGAACTGTGTAGGGCAATGCTGGCTGTCCCCAATATCTGTTCTTCTTATTTTGCTCAGTAATGAAACCTGAAAAGGCTAGCTGGCAGTAGTCCAACCAATAAACAAAGACTACATTTCCCAGCCTCTCCTGCAACCAAGTGTGCCCATGTGACTAAGCTTGGGCCAATGGGATATAAGGAGAAGTACTTTGCATACATCTTTTGGGAAGTTTTCTTAAAGAGAAGTATATCCTCTTTTCCTCTTTTGCTGGTCTTCCTGCTTAGCATGTGGATGTCTTGGCTCAAGGTGAAGCAGCCCTCTTAGAAGTCAGGGTGGAAATGAGAGGTAACAGCAGAGCAACCTGTCAGAGGAGTCTGGGATCCCTGATGGTAATGGAACCAGTGTCTTAGCCTAAGTCAGTTTATATTTACCTGAGTGAGAAATGCGTATCTTTTCATCACTGTTATTTGGGGCTTTTCATTTAATGATTACTCCTCTCCCCCCCCCCCCCCCCCCTTTAAATAAGTATCTTGTGCCAAGACCTGTTTGGCTCAGTGGATAGAGCATAGGCCTGCGGACTGAAAGGTCCCAGGTTCGATTCCAGTGAGATGGCATTTGGCTGTCATTTAATAAGGCTACTACATGGCCTCCCATTTCTTTCCAAGTGATGAACATCCTTAATATCATCCAAGCCATATACTTGCCACTCATGTTTAATCCCTGTAAGTTTTTTTAAATGGCATATTTAGAGCTAGCATAAATCACCATGCTTTTCAAAGGCGTGCTTTCGGAAGCCCAGAATATAAACACTATGTCTTCTTTCTTAGACTTTGGTTCTGTGTGTCCCATCTTACAAAGCAAATCGACAGTCATTCAGAGGCAGCAATTTCACAAAAGATGTGTAGGGGTTCTCTATAGTCTCATCCACCAAGATCCACTCTACTTTCTCTGTGGTTATTTGACTTTTGTCACTGCTTAAGGAGGAGATAACTGCTTTCTTTCTTGTTTTTATCTCCTCTTGTGAAGAGAAGATTTTCTCACTTTCATATTGTGGAGCCTAAGAAAAAAGATACCTACTGAGAAGGAATTGCTTGGGCTCAATTCAAAACACACACACACACAAACACACACACACACACACACACACAACAGAGCCTACAGCCATTTCTACATAGGGCCTCTTATGCAAACCACACTTTAGGGAGAATCCTGCACTGAGGCGAACTGCCTGCCTACACTGTGTTCCTGTTACCTGAGCCAGCTTTATAAGGAGGTTCCAGGAGTGGTATGTCAGCCAACAGGACTGAGGCTTCCCCTGTCTCACTGGACCTGTGCAGTTATATGTCATCATCGTCACCAATCACTCAAAAAATCTCCATTCTGACTAATCAATAAAACTTGGAGGATGTGGAGTCCTCATTTGCATGAAGACAAACCAATCAGGGGTTAGGTGCCATTACTTCTGTTTACACAGGTCAGCTCCTCTCTGGCCCTTTTCCTATTCGTGGGAGACTGAAGGACTGTGTTCCCTGGCCCCAGCAGAGCAGCACAGGGCAGAGCAGTGCAGACCAGAGCAGAGGGGAACTGCCTAGCAGGAAAGGGGCCCGGTCCCAGGGCCACCTGAAGCAGTGCCATTCCACAACGAGTGCAGCTTCATTATTGAACTGTAACACTATTGAGCTGTTTCACAGCCATGCTGTCTCATGGTTGAGCTGTTTGCATTCAATAACGTTTCCTTCTTCACCGCACACCAAACTGGGAATTCCTGTTGGTGTTGAATTGACACCAACCACCATCCGTTGACAGTATCATTAAAACCTTTAGTGACTTCATCGCTCATTCCAACTCCATAAGCCTCAGTACAGTGCCTATGACTGTAGTGGCAGCTCTGGCTCCGTGGCACTGGCAGGAGAAGGAGGAGGAGAAACCTCGTCTCTCTTGTTCACATGTTGCTCAGTAAATATTTGCAGAACGAATGAAGGAAGGCTATATTAAAACAGGGTTCATCTAAAGGTAAGAAGCTACTGCATTAAGAAACAACAGAATGTAGAATCCCAAGGAAACTGGGAGGTTATTGTAGGTGAGGAAACTGACATATAGAGTAGTTGTAGGACACTCAGCTCCCTTGTTATGCTAGTAGTTGGCAAAGCTCTCTAGTCGGGTGTTTACTAAATGGATGATGAGTACTTGTCCTGGGTCCACCCACAGGACTGCTCAGTGTCCCAGGATTGTACAGGATAACCTATGGCCCTTTCCCCACAGAGGAAGTATATGGACAGAGCAAACATTTCTCAAGCCCTTTCAGGCCCCACAGAGCTTAGAAAGCCCAGCCATTGGGAACAGCACGGTTGTAACCAGCAGGCAGCCTTCGCTAGTCATTACCTGGCACTCTGAAGAAGGGGAGCTCTCCAGGGTTCAATTCCCATTAAGGGCATGTACCTTGGTCCTGGGCACATCCCCAGTGGGGGTGTGCAGGAGGCAGCTGATCAATATTGCTCTCTCATCGATGTTTCTAACTCTCTATCCTTCTCATTTCCTCTCTGTTAAAAAAAAAAAATCAATAAAATATATTTAAAAAAATAAAGAAGGGGAGCAGCCCAGTCTAGTTGTCAGGCTCTCCCCTGGCAACCAGCTGCCTTTCCGCAGCTCCCCACAAAAACTTTTAATCCCTTTCTTCCACTGCCCTTCGTTCTACTTGGCCATGCTTGGAGAGGACAGGGACTGTGGCACAATGTGACCAACATGGCACATCCAACCAACCCGGGCGCTCTGTTTCCAGGGCGGGGCCTCCGGGAGGCAGGCGCGTCCCACAGCAGCGGCGCGCGCGCACCTCCGGGCCGGACTCGGAGCGGCGGGCGCGCGCCCCCGGCTGGCGGGCGGGAGCGCGCACGCTCCGCCTCCCACCCCCACCCCCCGCCTCCCGGCCCGCGCCCCGCCCCCTCGCGCCGCGATACGCCGAGCGCTCAACATCCGAGGATTCCGGCCCCGAGTAACCCCGCCGGCGCGACCTTTCCCCTCCATCCCCCACCCCCGGGCCCGCCCCCGGCGCCCGCGGTGGTTGGGCGCGCGCACCCGTCCTCCCTCCCCGCCTCCTCCCCGCCTCCCTCTCCCTCCCAACCCCGGCTCACCCCTCCGCGTCCCCTCCGCGCTTCTCTGCTCGTCATGGCGGCGCTCAGCAAGTCCATCCCTCATAACTGCTACGAGATCGGCCACACTTGGCACCCTTCCTGCGGGGTGTCCTTCCTGCAGATCACGGGGGGCGCCCTGGAGGAGTCCCTGCGGATCTACATCCCCCTGTACCTGGTGAGACCCCGCAGCGCCGCCCCCGGGCGAGTTCGGGGTGGAGGGTGGGCCTGGGGGTGGGGGCAGTCCGGCTCCCCGGAGAGGCTCGGGGAACTCGCCCTGTGTGTGTTTCTCATTTGGAGGGTCAGAGTGTTTTGGGATTTTTTTTTGGGGGGGGGGTGGTGAGGGGGAGGGTATTGGGATTGGGAAGGTTCCCAAGGGGCAGATGTCCCGAATCCTACTCCGGGCTGGGAGAAGGGGGAGGGGAACTTAGAGGTTGAGCTGTCATCTACATGCCTGTGTTTTGGGCCGGGGATGGGCTCCCCAGTCTGGGATTTAAAAGTTTAAAATTGTGACTGCAGGGACCTGCGTGATTTTTGCTCTCTCTCTGCCTGGAGGTGGAGAGGTCAGCGAGGCGACGAGAAATGGCCTGCCATCTTTCCTCATGTAAAATCCCTCATGTTCCCCCCGTCCTCATTTTTTTTTTTTTTAAAGGACATAATTGACAGCAAGTTCATGTGACCAGAGATCTTGTCTCAGTTTGGAATGGCAGGATTGTGGCTTGAGGGTTTTGCAAGTTTTTTTTTTTTTTGCAAGCTCCCAAAGCAGACAGACACTTTGGTTAAGATTTTTTCCGTGGTGATTTAAAGGGTGTTTCCAAGTCTTAGAGTCAGTGAAGGTGATTAGATCTTAGTTTATGGGAAGTAGGTCCTCTAAGTACTCAGCTTTACAGGTCATTGGTTTGGAGTTCTTAATAGAGAATATTTGAAAATATGTGTATGTATCACTTTAGTGTTATTAGTTTGGAGTTCTTAATAGAGAATATTTGAAAATATGTATATGTATCACTGAAAACTGGTAAGGAAGTTTGTTCTTCAATGCTCTGACCAGCATGGTTTTTTTTTTTTTAATAACCTGGTCCTTGGTATTAAAGATTTATTAGTTTGATTATCGAAGTTCAGTGTCTATTTTGTTGCCCAATATGCATCTGTGTCCTAAGAAGGCAGAGGTCATGTTGTTTGTATTTCCTGAAAGTTCCATTCAATATTCAATGGGTGGCTACTCCTCACCTCTCATTCAGTGATTATTTGAATTTATACCCTACTATGCCTAGAAATGTCTTAGCCATACTTGTAGTACTTGAACAGTTTGATTACTCATTACAGAGAATACACAGGAGAAGATGGTAACATATCTTTGAGATTTCAGAAGCCATTTTTTATTTTTATCATATAGACGATGCCTTTCAAATCTGAATACGTTAGGAGTCTCCCGGCAAGCATGTTATAATAGGGGTTCTGACTTAGCAGGTCTGGGTTGGGCCCGGGATTTTGCATGCCTGACAAATTTCCAGGTAATATAGATTCTGCTAGACTTAAGAGCCACACTTTGAATAGTAAGAACTGAGAGTGGAGGCCAATAGTAATAAACTTGTTACTGGAGCTGGAAATTTATCCCTTGATTTTCTTTGGCAAAGGTGCATGTTTATCTGTCTGCTTTTCCACAGGCATGTGTTCAGTCTGTAGTTCAGTGTTTGTTTTTCTTAATAGAACACATACAAACATTTTTGAGCTCTTGGTATGTTCAATAACACAAAAAGATTGTTTCTGCCCTTATGGGTTTATGATGTAGGTAGGGAGAGAGTTTATGCTATGTAATTTCTCTTTTGAAAATCTGTAATACTTTTCTGCTGCTCTACTCATTCATTCGACAACTGTTTGCTGAGTGTTTGACGGTTGTCATACCTACACCCTAGACAATTTATTGGTATCTTCCATGATAGGGAAGTTCAGGAGGAAGCAACAGGTATTTCTGTTCTTCTATTCCGGCAGTTGAGGTGTCAGGAAAGATTTGTGTTTTAGTGCTATGCCTTCAACTTTTAAATATTCTTGATGGTAAATTCTCCATCGTATTTGGCCTGTATCCCTTACAGCTGTGTATTTAAACTTTGGGTTGCTGTTTAGAAGTGGTTGTGAAATAGAATTTGTGGGAATTGACCAGTATTTGATTTTAAGAGAATAGAAGAGAATAGAAAAAAAATTAGAGTACATTGCAGGCACTAAACATTATTTTAAGACAGTTTTAGTTATATTTGTATGTGTGGCTGGGGCTACTTGGAACATATATAGCAACACTTTGCTCTTTATCAGTGTTGGGTAGTTGTTGATTACATGTGTAATATCAGATGCCACAATACAGGTTGGTAGGGGAAGAAGTTGCCTTTTAAAAGGGATTAGAGATGTGAATTTGAATCTCTGCTCCATCAGCTACTAGCTGTTTGACTTTTTGCATGTTACTTTGACTTTCTCTGTAAGAATTGAAGATAAACCATATATATATATATATATATATATATATATATATATATATATATATATATATATATATATTGTTAATCCTTACCAGAGGATGTTTTCCCATTGATTTTTAGAGAGAGTGTAGGTAGGGGGAGAGGCACAGAAAGAGAAACTATGTAAGAGAGACACATCAATTGATTGCCTTCCGCACCAAGGCCGGTACATGCCCTTGACCTAAATTGGACCCAGCATTCTTCAGTCCTCAGGCTGGCACTCTGTTCACTGAGCCAAACCAGCTAGGGCTGTATCACATATTTTCTAGTTCCTAATAGGTCTTGAATAATTAGGCCACTTTTTTTTTTTTTTTTTGCAGAAGATTATTATAAGCATGGTTTATGGCTATTGTAAGGGCATAAATGGGGCAATAGGGTGTAGGAATAGCAGTATCACATAGTAGGGCCCTCATAAAGTGTTGCAATTATTAAAATAGTGCATTCATTATAATCAATGTCTCTATCTCCTGTTAGAATGGTGGTTTTTATTCAGTGCTAGCACAGTACCTCAGTGACTGCTTAATACATGTCTGAATGAGTACAGGACTGAATGAATAAACTCAGGAATAGCTTAAGAGTAAAGAGATATTTCACAGTTCTAAAGTAGTGCTAGAGAGAATGGAAGGACAGTCTTAGAGGCATTTGACAAGAGGTATTTCACAGAAAAAATGAACAGGACATAGAGACTGACAATATTAGGGGTGGTGTGCTGACTGGTTTATGCTTCTAGGATTTCAAGCCATTGATGCTGTTTCCAACATTGATAGAAGTTTTGAAGGCAAACTGATTTAGAGGGAACTTTTAATTATGTGTTTTCTGGAGCTTATAAAATGTGTCTTGTATATTTGCTTTTTATTATAAACTAGGGACCAGTGCATGAAATTCGTGCATGCGGGGGGGTGTCCCTCAGTGTGACCTGCACCCTCTCCAATCTGGAAGCCCTTGGGGTTGTCTTACTGACAGCTTAGGCCTCCTCCCAATGATTCTCTGCTCTCTGAAGACCTGCCTGCTTGATGCCACCACAGGTGTCTGTTCTCTGTGGAGGCCTGCTTGCCCTTTGCTGCCACAGCCAGGAACAAGCAGGGCCCTGCTGACTACTCTCTGGCTTGCTGCCACAGGGGCAAGCAGGGCCCTGCTGTCTGCTTGCTTGCTAGCTGCAGAGGATGTTCCTGCCCCGTCCCTGGCCACTTGCAAGAGCACCTGGGAGTGCCTGGGCCCGAGGATGTTCCCACCCCACCCCCAGCCACTTGGTGCCTGCAGGCCTGGAGCGACTGGGGGCAAACCAGGACCCTGGGGAGCTGTTGCAGACCTACATGCGGGCCTACAGGCTCAGAGCGGCCTGGCTCCCAAAGATGCCTGTCCCTGGGACGCAGGTCGCTTGACTCAGTGTGCACACAAGCTGCTGCAGGGTAGGAACATCTGTTGTGTTCCTGCCCCGCACCCGGCTGCTCCGTGCCTGTGTGTATAGGCCCAGAGTGGCTTGGGGTCATTCCTGGACCCTGGCTGCTCCAGGCCTATGCGTGGGCCTATAGGCTCAGAGCAGTTTGGGTCAAGAGGACGCCTGTCGCTGGGACCCAGGCCACTTGGTGCTGGTGCATGTGCAAGTGGCTGCCCTGCCCCTGGCTGCTTAGTGCCTGTGTATGCAAATTAACCTTACAGCTTTGTCATGTTAATTTGCATACTCACTCCTGATTGGCTGGTGGGCATCATCTTTTTTTTATTAGTGTAGATATTAACCTTATGTTTTGCACTAAACTGATTGCTTTTGTTCCTTTTATATTTCTTGTTTGGTTCAATGCATCTATTCTCATATTTCTTTTTCATTTTGTTGTCTATAGTTGTTCTTAGTATTATATTTGCCTTATAATGCTTAAACCATGTTGAAATGTAGATCACTAAATCTTTTTAATAGTGAATCTGTGTTTTCATAATTTGTAAAAACATCCATCTTCATCATTGATTCATTTCATATAGTTTTTAAAAAAAGAATTCTATGTATGTTGTATAATATGCTAACATTTTATGCATGTTCCAAAAATGTATTTCAGAAAGTTATATTTTGTTGAAGGTTAGTTATTGCCACATATTCACATATGAAACACTGGTTACAGTGTTTAAACTGTAGCCTATTACTAAAATTAAGGAAAGCATAGTACCTCCATAATTTATGGCAAATTTAGAATGCACAATTGTCCATTTAGGGGGATTCTATGCTGTTCAAGTTCTTAGGTGCCTTCTCTTAGAAGGAAAACTTGTTCACTCATCTCAGGTTGTTTTAAGACCTTTCTTTTGCTATTCCTAGGTGACTTAACTAAGGACTACCAGATAAGGGTATTGACATTTACCTTTTGCTGACTCTTTTTGGGAAGGAATGTATTAAAATCTGCTTTTAAAATTGACCCTTAGATGTATGTTTAAATCCTTCTTCAGAATATGAAAATGTTTACTTAATATTTACTTCCTTTGAACCTTTTAATCTAACAATTTTGTTATGATATAGAGGCTCAATTAATCATCTCCAGACTCAATTAAAATTTAAGTAAGAGCTAGAATTTTTAGGATTAAAAAACAATTTATGGACAGTCTTTAGCTGCTAAAGATTTTAAAACCATTCACTGAAGAAATCAATTCAGTGATATTGAATACGGTTTTTTTTTTGTTTTTGTTTGCT